TTTTTGGTTATGCAACTTGGGTGTGAGCACTGCCCGAGGTCCTCGTGAGACCCTTGGGGGACTTTGACACACTCAAGTCTAAGAAAGGCTTTGAAACAATGGCATTTGAGGTATTTTATTCCATAACTCAGAGAGGAAGTCAAGAATCAGGCTTCCTCTGGTTGTAACTTTTCTTTTATAGTTCTTTGATGTGATTCATTATTCAGTTTGTAATAATTTGTAATAAACATTGTGGTTGGTTAATGAAAAGGGCTGGGTAATTATGCATTCTTAAGGGTAGAAATCATGCCTATAAGATTTGTTGTTTTAAAATTCTGCATATTTAAGTCTGCATTTAGGTATCATGCCTATAAGATCCATTTGTTTAAACTATGCATGTTAATTCTTCAGTTAGATACCATGTCTATAAGACCTGTTTTCACTAAAATTCTGCACGTTCTACATCTAGGGAACCTGCCTATAGGACTTGCTTAAATTCTGCATGTTATTGTCACATTTAGACACCATATTCTTAGGATCTAAATGGTTAGAATCAGATATCATGTCTATAAGGATAAGAACCATCACCATTTTTTTTAGAAATCATATCTATAGGAATAAAATGAGCAATACTAGATATCATACCTATAGGATTTAAAATCAGTTCGACTCTGAACCAGTTTTTAACGACCTTACTCCTTTATTTAACGCAGTTTAGAGAGCATGCCTATAAGATTTCCAAATCGTTCTTTTAAAAGCTGTTATTACTTTTCCACATGCTGAATCAATAGTAGATACCATGTTCATAGGATCTCACCCCAAACGCTTAGGCAAGCTTTAGGTGTTAATAAAAAAAAAAGGGACCCGTCTCTGTTGAGTAGTAATTGCTACAACCAGCAGGCAGGTTGGTCTGCCTCAACAATTGAAACTTCCCTTTATCTTAGTATGTTAAATTTAGACCTTAGATGTATGTTAAAGTCATGCTATTTATGTGCTTTGTTTGAGGAGGTATACATGAGCCTTTTATTTATTTACATGTTTCCCCTAACATGCAGTATTATGTGTTTTGTATATCGCCTTAGATTTTTACCTTTTGAAATCCAAGTCAGCCTAATATCCCTCCCCTTTAGGAATAGTAGTCCTAAATTCCTCCGGGACCGATAGGAATGGGACGGGTAATAGCATGCAGTAGAGATCGAGACCAATCCGCGCTTTACTACCTTGATGGGGTAGGAAGGGTAGATATGAATATGATTACCGGTGCAGTAATACCACGTGTATCCCCTATTATAAGGAGTGTCATACCGGGTATCGCATTGATGTGATCCATACCGAATATAAATCTAGGACCCCCTTTCCCTTTTTTTTGCAAATTTCTTTTCAAAACTCTTCTTTTAATTGTTCTTCGAACTCTTATGTGTTTAAATTTAAATCCCCTTTTATTTGAGCATGTACTTGTCTATTTTCTAAAATGCACAAATTCACAAGAAACTGTCTGGCCGGGAACCACACTAGTGGATCTTGAGGGGTGCCTAATACCTTCCCCTTAGGATAATTTCAAGCCCTTACCCTATCTCTGGTTATCAAGCAACCTAGAAGTGAACCCTTATAGGTGTCCTAATACACCTTAAAATCATTAGGTGGCGATTGTTCAAATGCAAAACCCAGTTCCCAAAAGGAATGAGTTGTCTTATGCCTAAAATATCATAAACCCGATCTCCCGATTGCATAAGAGGGAAAAAGGGGGCGCGACAACATGGCGACTCTGCTGGGGATATTTAGGCTTTTACCACTTCAGATTATTGTTGTGAATTTGTACTGTCCTTTATGTGCAATTACTTGTTTAATTCCTTTAAGCATTCAATTTCCTTTTCAACTGCAAAAACTCACTTGTCTTCTTTGTTTCTTCTCTTTACTACTGCTTTAAATTATGAAACTGCTGTATGTACTGCTTTCTTAGTGTGCAAATACATGTCAACATACTTTTAATTATTGCATAACCATGCTCAACATCATACTCCACTCATGCCAGATAAATACCATAGCAACGCTTATAATGAGTGGTTGGGCTCTTCCTATATTATCACCTCCTAAATTCGGAAAGACATATTTGCGGTAAAACCAGTCGATCAGCGGTGCAGTTGACGGTTTCGTGCCTTCCTCCTTGAGTTATTTGCTCAAGGGTACCAGTCTAGAACCCCATAGAAAGCTTACTGTATTCAAATTATGCATGCATCATGGTCAAACCTTTCCGGGTCAGTTATGTTGTCCACATAATGATCCTTTAAGATAGCCTTGTCCAAAGTCCACTGGTTTCCCTAAACCTAAACGGACATCACCATGTTCTGTGCATTTACTTAGAGGACTAAATGCTTCACGCTAATTGTTGATGTTAAATAGTCGAGTCCGGTGGGGGTATGGTCTTAACCCTTTTGTTTTGTAGAAAATGAAGAACGAGGTCCCCAGCTTCGGTATGGTTAGCATGCCCTCACTCTTTCTAGACTGGTGGAGGAACCTTCCGTCAAATGACCAAATCAATGAATGGAAAGAGAGGTCCGCCAAATCTAGCGAAAAGCTAGAATATCTAGAATACAACTTGTTGGAATTGGAAGGAAAAGTAAGGAATAGAGTTGCTGATTTCCAGAACGCTGAAGGAAATGAAGGAGAACATTTGGCGAAGGCATTTTTACTGGTGAACCTATGCGAACTGGAGGATTTGATCAATGAGAACATTCAACCTGGGGAAGGTCCTTCTGGGACAAAGTAGATAGGAGTTTTCCTTTTCGCTTTATGAAATGTAATAAGGCTGATGGCCATTCGTGATTATCATTTCCTGTTTATTTAGTGTCAATTTGGGATTCGTCTACTTTTATCAATAAAATGAGGCATTTAGCATCCTATGTTCTCCAAATCAATTTGTCGCTAGGCCTACCTCGGGCACAAAGAGGTCCCAAACTAGGACACGATTTACATTCCCGCACTATGTGTTTAAATATTGCAATACTTTCTATAATCCTCACTAACTTGGTTACCTTTTGCTTTTATTTTTTGTTTTTTATTCCCCACCCCAAAGGTTAGTTCGTGTACTCTGGCAACATCACCCTATTCCACGAGATCCATGGTCCCTCTACCCACTCCTCCTCTTAGTCCTGTCAAAAATAAGAACAAAGGAAAAATGGAAGGTTTGAACAATGTCAGAAGGGATAATGCAACTAAACGGGTAGAGGCCACCAATGGTCATTGTACTCAGGTTCCTAAGGAAATTATGTCCCAACTTGAACAAAAATTGCTGAAATTCCAGGAAGAACTCGATCAGGTTCGGAATCTGGCAAGCTTGTCATTTTTCCTCAGCACCCAGGATATCACCTTTCCCAATACTCAAAACCCTACACCACCTCAAAACATCCTAAAGCAACAGAATCATCCCGCTCCCCACAATGTTCCACCAAAGACCTAATGCAATACTTGCCATACCTCAAATAACACTCCGCTACTCATCCCAGAACTCTAAAACTCCACAAATGACCACTTTCACACCCACCATAACACTCCCATCTACGTAGAGACCATGCCACACTCCACCCAACCCATCTCAAGCACACCCGAGTCTGATGATAAAGACTTGCTCAACAGGAACCTAGCTGAGGAACTTAAGAAATTGACTAGCCGGATTCAAGGTGTTGAAGGAAGCAATGGAATTGAGGGGCTGAACTATGAAGATCTTTGAATACAACCCGATGTTGAACTGCCCAAGGGGTACAAACCTCCTAAGTTCAAGATGTTTGATGGTACAGGGGATCCAAGGGTCCATTTGAGGACATACTGCGATAAGCTGGTTGAAGTAGGGAAAGACGAAAGGATCCGCATGAAATTGTTCATAAGGAGCTTGAAAAGAGATGCTTTGTCTTGGTACATCAACTAAGATCCAAAGAAGTGGTCAAGCTGGGTAAGCATGGCGTTTGACTTTATGGACAGGTTCAGGTTTAACATCAAGAATGTGCTGGATGTGTTCTGTATTCAGAATCTAAAGAAGAAGCCTACAGAAACATTTCGTGAGTATGCTACTCGCTGGAGGTCTAAAGCTGCTAAGGTGATACCTGCCCTAGAGGAGAACAGATGAACAAATTCTTTGTCCTTGCTCAGGACCCGCAGTATTATGAACGACTGATAATGATTGAAAGCCACAAATTTTCCAACACCATCAAACTGGGTGAAAGAATTGAAGAAGGTATCAAAACCGGTATGGTTACATACTTGGAAGCCTTGCAAGCTACGAATAAGGCCTTGCAGTCTGGTGGTGTGTCCAAGAAAAAGGACGTAGGAGCCGTGATGGTTGCACAAAGGACCAAATCTCCTATCAAGTACTAAACTTACCCAACACCCGCACTCACATATCAGCCTACTCCGAACTACCAAGCACCCTCACCCTCTTACCAAGCGCTGCCACCACTTTATCAATCACCACCACCTCCACCTCCTACATATCAGCCTACTTCGCCCAGATATTCCCAACCCGCACATGTCTACCAAACTTACAATGCTCAACCATCCCACTATCAATAACCTCCCGCCCATCAAAACTTCCCTAGACCCCAGCCAAATTTTGATCGCAGACCTCCAAAACAATATACAGTCATTGCTGAGCCTATTGACCAGTTGTAAGAGAGACTCAAAGCTGCTGGTTATGTCACCCCCATCCCTTCTACAACTCATGAGAACCCTTCTCAGTGGGTTAACCCAAACAAATCCTATGCGTACCACTCCGGCATGAAAGAGCTTACCATAGACGAATTTCGTTCCTTGAAAGATAAGATCCAGACTTTAATTGATAACAAGACTATTAGGGCAAATGAACCCACTCCAAATGTCTGCAATAATCCTCCACCCGATCATACGGGTGGACGCATCCACATGATTGAAATAGAGGATGATTGGGATCCCGAGGGATCAATAGGGTTGATCGAAGAAGGCGATGACCCAAAGAAACCAATAGTTACTCTTAATCCAATCATAGTCCAGATTCAACCATCTGGGGATGCCGAGGTAAATATGTATGTGCCACTTGCATTTGAAGCAACGTCATCTGCAAAAACACCAGCAACAATTTAGGTCGAATTCATGTCTCCGGCAAATGCACCCGTGCCGTTTAAAGTTGCAATTTTACCATCCAAAGCACATGCTCCGCTTGGAGTAAGGACAGCCACGCCAATCCCAGTAGCAATATCAACCATGACACCATTTCATACAAAGGCTATACTGATAACAACTAGGTCGGGAGTCCAAATAAGAGTAAGAATTTGAGAAGTAAATGCGGAAGCACTAACAATAAGGAATTGAACAACTAGAATTAAAGAGATGAAAATAAAGGATATGGGAAGAATTCAAGGAAAGAATTCCAAGAACTTCCAAGAACGCAAGTTCTATAGCCTTGACAAGATCAAAGTAACAACGTCTTGATTTATGGAAGAAATCAAACGCCTTTACTTAAAAAGCAAATCAAAACAATAGATTCGGATCTTGACCACTTTACGAGTAACTTGAGACAACAATTAATAACTAGTATTAATCGCCTTCTAAGAATACCACAAAGGAATCAAAGATATCATAAAAGAGAAGTAATCTTACTACCTTGAACTAAGAACTAGTAAAGGTTGAAAGATAAATCTCAAAGCACAAGTAACAAAGGTTCAAAAGAACTCTC